ACAAAAGACAAAGATGCTCCAGGATGATAGGCACAGTGTTGAGCTTTTGTTACCTAGTGGCTATCCGATTGTTCAGTCTGACGTCACTAGCCGTGTCTGGGTCTAAACTACCGCTGCAGGTCCATATATCAAACCATCATTATGGCATTACGAGAGTATGAAAAACTGTCTAAAGTCTTTCATCTTTAATAAAATGATCAGCGTTCTGCTCTACCAGGTGTAACAATTGAGTTTAACATCCAGGCATCCATGAAAACGGAATTTATGACATTTAACGGAGTTAGAAGTTAGCAGGGAGTTAGCTCGCTAGCTTCTATCTAAATACAATATAGCATGTCCTGGCTGCGGGGTTTTGGAAACAAATTCAAACGTACAGCTCTGTTATCACTTCCAGCATAAATGAAGACAGAAAACTAAACAGCAGTGACGTTTGTAGGGTTACTGAAGTTGGGCTAGCTGGTATTTAATGATGTGCTACGTGACCGCTAGCGACCACAGTTAGTTAGCATAATATAAACAAGCTAACTTTTTTCCCCACTCGATAAAAGTTAACGTGAGTGTTCTCGGTGGTCAGGAACAAATGTAATCGCATGGCAGGATGCTGTAAAAGGACCAAACTTCAGCCAGGAGAACAACTGAGATAATCCACCCACAATACGAGGTTAGTCATTCATATACTGCTGCATGGGCTGGGCTGCAGTTACATCTAAAGGTTTTAAAAACTGAGCTTAAATAATGATTAGTGGTATAAAAGCCGAGGGAGGTCAACAGGGATCACTGACTGTTTTAGGAGCTTTTTGAGATCAAATAGAAGAAAATACAAAACATTAAACATGTTAACAACACAAAAGCCATATTAAACGCAGACTACTTTAGACCCGGAAGTGGGATTCGTCGCGTCATCACTGAACAACCAGATACAAGCCAGCAAGTACCAATGACCGGATTTGGTGTGTGGTAATAACAGGTAAATGAACTTTTTTTTAAATTTATATTTGACTATATATGAATGCTTGTGTATAAATACACAAACATACACCATGCTTCATGCTTTCAATTGTGTAATTTAAGTGATCTAGGTAGCTCTGTTTTGGAAGTTCAGTTCATGCTAGAAATGTGTTTTGGAGTTTGTACGTGCTTTTTGGAGTTTGTACGTGTTTTGTCTAGGGGCCACAGCATATATTTATATATAAACATATATAAATAAAACCACTTTTTTTTTTACATTAGTAATTCCTTTTGTGCATAATTTTATATTATTGTTAATAATAAATTAATTAAAGCAAAAAAACCAACCTGAAGAGCCGGTTCGGAGCCGAAAGAGCCGGATCTTTTTAGTGAGCCGAACCGAAAGAGCCGGTTCTCTAAAAGGAGCCGGAAATCCCATCACTACTGTAGGAAGTATTTGCGTTTGCCTTTGCATTTTATTGTTCTTGGTCAACAAAATTCAAGCTATATTAATTTATTTACTTTCATTTTTAACACAACACCTTTAATTTTCCTCTATGGAAATGGAAAAGGTGAAGACAAACCTAATGTCAGTGTCAACTTTATTTGGCTCTAACTGGACTATGACGATTTTAATAGGAAAATAACTAATAATTGGGGTATAATGGGGTTAATTAGGCTCTTACCATCTCAGTCATGCAAACAACAGTTGAAAACCCAGCCAGTCACGGCAGAAGGCTGCTCCTTCCTGAGCCTGGTTCTGCTGAAGGGTTCTTCCCAACGGGGAGTTTTTCCTCCCCACAGTTGCCAAGTGCTTGCTCATAGGGGATCATCAGATTGCTGGCCTGTCTCTAATACTGTAGGGACTACCTTACAGTATTAGAGACAGGCAGCTGTTGTTTGCATTCAAAGCCACATAAATAAATTTGAATTCTCAATGAAATGAATGGATTTGATTTGATTCCTTTACCTTCACAGAATCCTTTTACTTCAGTTTTGTCTTCTGCTTCTTGGTAGCAATAATAGTTTTGTCAATTAAGCTTCTTGCCCCATTCATCCCTATGCTCTCCTGTTTTCTCCTAACTGGCATATCTGACCCGTGGGAGTGCAGACACCACACAGAGAAAGAATGGGACGAGCCACTCTCAGATCAACACTGTCACTGTGGGAATCCTAGATCTTCAAAACTTGTCAAAGGTGAAAGTTCAAAGACGTGTCTTACCTGCAAACACAGGCAGTGTGAACTACACCATTTTTCAGACGCTGGTGTGACAGGCTACAGAAAATGTAGTTATTTAAGAACAGAACAGAACAAAGAAATCAAGGACTTGACTCGAGGGAAGGACATTCAAGATAAGATAAGAGATAAGATAAGATAGAACTTTATTAATCCCTCGGGTGGGTTCCTCTGGGAAATTCGATTTCCAAAAAAGCACAGCACCGACAGAAGTTACAGAGTTATACACACACACACACATATATAAATACAGAGACAATATAAATAAAATATACGAAGGGGATAAATAGAATAAATAGGAATAAAAATAAAAATACAAGTGAATTGCACATTTCAAGTATTGAGTCTATTGCACCGTTGACTATTTACAAAAGTATTGCACAAAAGGTATTGTACAGTGAGGTGAAGAGGCACTACAGCTTAGTTGTTCCCTCCTTTGTCCTCCTGTCTCCCCTCCCTCTCCCCACCAGAGAGGAGTTAAACAGTCTGATGGCGTGTGGGACAAAGGAGTTTTTAAGTCTGTTAGTTCTTGTCTTTGGGAGAAGCAACCTGTCACTGAACAGACTCTTCTGATTGTTTATGGCCGTGTGCAGAGGATGTCTGGCATTGTCCATAATGTCCATCAGTTTCTTTAATGTCCTTTTCTCTGCCACTGTCACCAGAGTGTCCAGCTTCATGCCGACCACAGAGCTAGCCCTCCTGATCAGTTTCTCCAGCCTGGATGAGTCCTTCTTTGCTGTGCTGCTCCCCCAACACCACAGCATAGAAAAGTACTCCAGCAACCACCGACTGGTAAAACATCCTCAGGAGCTTCCTGCAGATGTTAAAAGACCTCAGCCTCCTGAGGAAGTACAGTCGGCTTTGGGCTTTTTTGTACAGGTGCTCTGTGTTGCATGACCAGTCCAGTTTATTGTCCACCCACAGCCCGAGGTACTTGTACTTGTTGACCACCTCCACCTCCTCCCCCTCTATCTGAACCGGCAGTGGACCTGCTCTAGACCTCCCGAAGTCCACAACCAGTTCCTTAGTCTTTGAGGTGTTGAGTTGCAGGTGGTTTGTGTGACTCCATGCGACAAAGTTCCTCACCAGACTTCTGTACTCTTCTTCCTGATCATCCCAGATACACCCCATGATGGCTGTGTCGTCTGCAAACTTCTGAATGTGGCATAATTCAGAGTTGTGGCAGAAGTCAGAGGTGTACAGGGTGAAGAGAAGAGGGGACAGCACAGTTCCCTGTGGTGCTCCTGTGCTGCTGACCACTGTGTCAGACGTGATGTCCTTCAACTGAAGGATAAGACACAAGCTCTACAGCCTAAGTCCATTTGTTGATGAGCAGGGAGTACTTAGGGTGGGAGGACAAGAGCAACTCTACACCCATATATCAAACATCCTGCCATTATCCCCAAATCAAGTCATGTTGTGTTTACTTATTAAACAGTACAGCATCAAGGAAGAGGAATAACTGTCACTGAGCTGCGCTCCAATAGAGTATGCATTACAGGATGCAGCGATTCAGTTGCTTCTCACATCTACAAGTGCACAACCTGCACAAAGTACAGGAGACATAATCAAGATCATGGGAGGTCAGATTTACCAGAGGATAGAATGGAAACAACACCCCCATTCTCCTACTGTGGCATTGACTGTTTTGGACCTTTTTATGTAAAAGAGGGTAGAAAAGAACTTAAAAGGTATGGTCTTCTTTGTACATGTATGTGTTCTAGAGCAATACATAATGAAATGTTGGATGACCTTACAACTGATCATTTTATGAATGCATCATGTTGTTTTATTTCTATTTGTGCACATGTAAGACAAATCAGGTGTGACCAAGGTACTAAATTATTTTGGTGCTAAAGGAGAGCTTTTGAGGGCAGCATGGTGGCACGGTGGCAAGCACTGTTGCCTCACAGCAAGAAGGTCCTGGGTTCAATTCCAGCCGTGTTTGCGTGGGTTATCTCCGGGTACTCCGGCTTCCTCCCACTGTCCAAAGACATGCAGTTTGTAGGGATAGGTTAATTGAAAAATCTAAATTGCCCATAGGTACGAATGGTTGTCCATCCCTGTGTGTTAGACTGGCGACCTGTCCAGGGTGTACCCCACCTCTCGTCCTATGACAGCTGGGATAGGCTCCAGCGCCCCCCGCGACCCTGAAAAAAAGGATAAGCGGAGGTGGATGGATGGATGTTTAAGAAAGGAAATAAAGGCTGTGTGCCCTGTGCTATGGAGTTTACCTTGTAACAGATGACGGGGGTCATGTACTGAGGTTAACAACACAGACACATAGTCTGTCTGGGTAAACTGATTGCAAATGTTGTTTAAGTCTAGAAAAGTGTAATAACAGGATGCATCTGGGAGGCGGTGGAGGAACTGAGAAAGGAACTGTTCTGTTTTAGAATATCTCCTGACATAGAATTACTGGAACAGGCATGTTGTTTTTCATCTGCGGTGACGCGAGTTACTGGTCATTATAAGTATAAATATTACACCCACCTATTGTCAGGCGGGAGATGGAGGCTGATGTTTTGCAGAGCCCATTTTCACCACATATATGTGTTTTAATAAAATCATTTGTGTTGACCCACTATGGACTTTCAGTTGTATGTCTCTTCCTCAAAAATTCGAACCGCGACAAGCGCTATTAGTCCAACTCCCAATTCTTACATATGAATAAGAGGCAGAAATGAAGAACAATTAATTCGAGATAAGTTCTTCCTGTTGAGTGTATTTCTTTCTGCATTCTTCTTCCTCCTGTGCCATTTCCCTCAATTGTAATTCTTGCTGTCTTTCTCCTCTCTGCTCTTCATGCTTCCCCTCATATCTTGCAAATGACAAGAACAGTGGTAAGGACTCCTGCCAAGAAAACTCCGACCATCTGCCATGTTGGTGTGGCAAAGTAGGAGCGAATACCCTCCTAAAAATGCCGAAAAGACAGGAAAATTAATATGGACACATTGATTATTGCTAATAAATTAGGTTTATTAGTTTGCTCCTTACCCAGCCACCTTGCTCCCTGATCCAGTTGATCACATGTTCCCGGAGATAGTCTATGGTCCAACTGATAATGGTTCTGATAATATTCGGAATCTGAGTTACAAGAGCCTGTAAAGGTGTAAAGAGAAGATCTTTAGATAATTTTTAATTCAATAATGCATGCCTTACTTTTGTTATTTATTAATTTTAAAATACCAAACATAGCAGTTTCACGTACTTTGATAACGAGTCGGCATACAAAGTAGAACAGTGCAACCACCCTGCCCCAGTTCAATATTCCATCTGAAAAGATCTCAGAGGCCACTCTCATAAAAACCTCTCTTGTGGGACAAAGTGAAGAGTCATTTATCATTCTAGGGAAAAAGATTGAATAATGTAAGCAAATAATTTAGTTATTACAGTTATAGTTGAACAAACATGCATATCATAATACTCCACACCTTTAAAGTTGCCTGAAGAGGCACACAGACAAGTTACCAACCTTTGGAGCTCTACATTTCCATCCAGCTCGTCTCCAATCTGCTGCAGGCACTGAGCAAGCATCATATGTTTTGGGTTAGTCAGCTGGCTTCCATCAAGCTGTTCTCTCGTCACTGCCCTATTGCCATCTCTTTGCCTCTGAACTCGCTCATAGATGAAACTATACAGCACAAATACACAACAGTAAGCCATCTTACACTTTCTCTAGTTCAACAGCAAGAAACCAAAGTGAAGGGGTTAAGATGACCTGGTTACCTAAGCTGGTTGTCATCATTGAACCTTGGCACATTAGCACTTTCAAAATGGACTGTTACTTATATATAGCACTTTACTACTCTCTTTGAGTGTTGAATGTGTTTTCTTACAACAAGCCTCGTTCACATATGATACATATTTTCTCTGTGCCAAAGCACTTTTAACCCAGCGTTAGGACACTAGCACTCTGACGGATGTGTCAAGGTCAACATGAGATTCACTATTTATGTTGACATGCAACCTAGAAGATCAAACAAACAGCCTTGCAATTGGTAGGTGATCAGCTCTTCCTTCTGAAACAAGTCAACAAAGGCACTCAAACTCCTTACACCTAACCCCTTATATCAAGTTGATTTCCTTCACAAAAATGATATATTCCACATATAACTGCTACCCAAGAGTGTAGTGTGTACTCACTCCTGTAACAAAATAGTTCCAACTTCAAGAACCTGATCTCCGGAATTCCCTGAAAGACAAAGGTAGACACTTGGGCTGCGCGATTAATCGTTAGAAAATCGCAATCTCGATTCATACTTATGTGCGATCTCATTTCCAAATGACAACGATTTTAAAAAAAAGAAAAAAAAAGACAACGACGATTGTACCGCATTTTGATCCGGGACGTAATCTGCATGAAAACACGCGCTCACTCTTCCTGCTCAACAAATGACAAGGGCGGAGCCTTATACCACGTGATACAGAAGCTGTGCCGTGTGATGCTAAAATTAGCAGGGAAAAAACAACGGAGAGCACGTCAGGGATGACGAGAAAGTGACAGGAGAAAATCCGTCCCCGTCAACCACCCAAACATCAATAACTGTAACCTTATAGCTACAGCGCTTCCCTATACCCGTCGAACTCCCGCAGGCACAAAGAAATTACGGAGGCTATCACTTATCACCTGACCAAAGATATGGCTCCCATCAACACTGTGCAAAACGAGGGATTTAGGAAAATGATCAACATCCTAGACAAACGCTACACAGCGCCGTCCCGCAACTATTTTTCTATTGTTGCACTACCTGCTCTATACACGCAGTGTTGAGCAACGGTGGAGACGGAATTTCAAGCAGTACAACATTTTGCGGCAACAACAAAACGTGAGACATTTGTTGCTTTTATGTTTATTTATTGTTTTTATGTTCAGTTTCAACTGTTATGAAGTTGATGTGCAGTTAATAAGTGCAATAAATATTTATACTGGAAAAGAAAATCGTGAGAGAATCGTGATCTCAATTCTAAGCCAAAAAATCGTGATTCTCATTTTATGCAAAATCGTGCAGCCCTAGTAGACACTCATTAGATGACTCAAATGCTGATAAATAAGCATTGCGCCAAATTATTATGAGATCACTTTAGATGACAGAAAAATTATACGTCAATTCTCAGTTTCATCGTAGGTATTTTTTTCGTAACAATTAGTTTAAACACGTTTTTAAAACTATTGTTTTTGTAAATTATTTATATCTCCTGTCCAACTCAACTCTAGACACCTGTTTGTCCGTAACATATACAAAGGCAATACATCAAATCTGGTGTTAGTTATTTAGTTGATAGTATTAATTTAAGTTAATTTGCGTTAAACACTGTCGTAACTGAGGAAATTTGCCATTTTTTAATGTCAAACGGAAGCCGTTTCCAAATGTGTACGTTTCGCTTTTGGTTAAACGCGTTTGCTTACTCTTTGTAACGCGAACATCTACACAACGCAGTGCTAACGCAAAGCTAACGTTTAGCTACTTTTGCTAAGCTAAGCCCTATCCATGTTAACGATACACTTAGCAAGTAATAAAGCGGCAAACTAAATGTTAACTGTTAAAGCGCCACATTATCTGTGTCTATCGGACTCCCACCGACACTGTCAGAGTCGAAATATATGTATTTTATTTGTTGATGATAGCTGCTACTACCTTGATCGCATCCTCCTGCGTGTGATGCCATCTTTTCTGTTTGGGTCGTTACTATGGAATCAGAATGATGCCACCTTGAAACGAAACCGAAAAAATATTGAAACTGAAAAAAAAATATTGTAACTGAAATAAATGTACTGAAAAATCTTGTATTGAAACCGAAAAAAAAATTGATAGTGAAAAACAATTAATTGAAACTGTAATTTTTTTGTTTTCGCTTACAATTTTTTTTTTTCGGTTTCAATCCATTTTTTTTCGGTTTCAAACCATTTTTCAGTTTCACTCTGCTGGCACTGTTTTGGTGTACGGGGGCGCGCTGGGGGGCGGGGATTCCGACCCGCATGTATTTGCATATATTATAATGCCGACCAATGACTGGAGAAAACACTGACGACGCGGCTGCGGTCACGGACAAACTCGCACGTGTCTGTTCGGGAATGGCAGATGCCGAGAGGTCCAGCGTTTACATTACCGACTATTTCGGTAAGTGACAGCCTGAGGTGTTCTTCAGTAAATTGGACTACCAGACAGGAGGACCTGAGGCCCCACCGCATTATTTTTGGTAAGTTAAATGTGTTTGTAAACTAATCCGTAATTTAGGTCCTTAGCTATCTACCTAAGGACCTAGCTAGCTAAAATGAGCACTCGGCTGTCGGGGAAACTTGTTTTGTAAAGTTCGTTTAGCTACCCCGTGCAGGTGAAGGAATTTACCCTGACTAAAGAAATCAAGAGAAACGCACCGGGCTGCTCGGTGACTAACCACGGTTACTGTACTTTTATTATGAGTATTATACTGTAAGAGCAACAGGCTGTACTCTGCTTCTGCTCCTGTGGAGAGCTGATTATTAAATATGTGCAAACAGCAGCATGTTTTCTGTCGCTTTCCACATGTGGAAGGACATTAACGCCAACTTTTAAATTCCCCTCATTAGTCAATAGCTACGGATTAAATAGCAAAGCCTGATACTTATGTACTAAAACTAACTACTTCCGCTTGTCAGCTTAAGTTAAAATGTTACATTTTTCCCCTGATTATTTTTTTAGCTTTTTTTTTTTTCTTTTACTGAGTTTGTTACAAATATTCAGGTTAAAAAACTGTCCAAATTATTTTTAATGAATTATGTTCACAAAGTCACATGTTCAGTACTCTGTACAGCTTGCATCCTTTAGGACAAATAATTTGAAACATTAATATTTCTTGTTCAATACTGAGCTGATAACACCTCTGTATGTTGTGACCAGGATGCAGCAGCAGACTGAACCTCGACTGAAACCTGCTCCATCATCTCATCTTTGCAGATGTCCATTTATAAAGCATCAACAACTCAAAGGTAAACATGATATTAGAAAAAGTGTTAGTAAGGCCTTTAAAACAAATAAAACAAATAAAAAGCTGTCGGCAGAACTGTAGACTGAACAACTTCAGATCCCGAGTGTGTGAGGACGGAGAAGGATCAGCTCTATTTCAGATTTGAGAGATAAACTTTATATTTCAGTTTGTGATGATTCTGTTCTGTTTGTGATTACAGGAGCTGTCCTCAGATTCAGACCTCAGCACCACCCAGTGACAGCAGACAGATCATCCTATATCTTCAATCTTTGTAGTAACTCCAAAATTAACTGAAGAAAACAGTATAAAGGTTAAAGTACCACATGTGCTGTCAGTGAAAGCTGCAGCTGTTTTATTGATAAATTTAAAGACAAAAAGTCAAAAGGATTAATCACCCCTGTAACTGTGTCACTATACATCAGCATTAACAGTACCTCAGTTTGGTGTTTCAGAAAACTGCTGATCTCAGACCTACATGAAGAGCACATGTTTTCTCTGACACAATTAAATAAAACCTGATTAAAGTCAAAGGTTGTTACTTGTATTTGAACTAAAAACTTGTGATCTGGAATTCTTTCACTGTTTTTTGACAATAGTGTGTTATTTATCATAAAGTAATTCAGAGTCATTCATACCAGAGTAACCAGAGAGCACAACATATATTTAACTTTCTACAGGACTTAAAGATATTACTATAGCTATTACTTGACTGCACTACTGTATAGTTCTGTGTAAATAATCATTCTGTACATATGATAATTTTTAATCCTACAACTGTTTATAACTTGCATAGTTCACATTTTTGTATAATGGTAAATGGCCTGTATTTGTATAGCGCTTTTCTAGTCCCTAAGGACCCCAAAGCGCTTTACACAACCTGTCATCCACCCATTCACACACACATTCACACACTGGTGATGGCAAGCTACAATGTAGCCACAGCCACCCTGGGGCGCACTGACAGAGGCGAGGCTGCCGGACACTGGCGCCACCGGGCCCTCTGACCACCACCAGTAGGAAACGGGTGAAGTGTCTTGCCCAAGGACACAACGGCCGAGACTGTCCAAGCCGGGGCTCGAACCGGCAACCTTCCGACTACACGGCGAACTCCCAACTCTTGAGCCACGATCGCCCCGTATAACTGTATAGCTCAGATTTCTGTATAGTTTTTCATATTTATATCCTGTTCATAGCCTGTACATAGTTTGTACTCACTACAGCCTGTACATACTTATAGTTATAGAATATTCTTAACATACTTCATACCGTGTATATTGTAACATACCATAATAGACCCATTTCTGTAATATACTTACATATCTATATTATTGCTAATATATATTGTAATATATCTATATCATGGCTAAAGCACTTCTGGATGGATGCAAACTGCATTTCGTTGCCCCTGTACCTGTGCATGTGCAATGACAACAAAGTTGAATTCTATTCTATCATATTATATTATGTAAAAGTCCAGACCCTCTGAGGATTATCTGAGTACTTCTAACATTACACAAAGCAAAGGTCTCCATCAGTGTTCATGAAATGATGGGTTTATCCTTCTTGTGAGGGAGCTGCTGGTGAAGATCATGAGCCCTGCTTGATCCTGGCGACGAGTTTCAGTCTTCCTGGTGTTTCTGAAATGATGCCTCTCACTGTGGGTCAACAGAACTTCTGGCACAGGACAGCTGTAATGAAAGAAATTGAAGAAGTTTTGGAAAAAAAAATCTTGGAAATGCCCTAAATGTGAGAAGCAGATTTTGTATTTACTTTTCTTTTGCTAATCAAGATAACAAAGTATAATTTTCACCATACAATTACGAACCTTGTCATCTCCTGCACTGTCTGTTTTGGGCTCTGGGCTCGTCCTTCCCAGCGCTCATGAGACTGCTTTGATGCACTGTGGTATGAGGTGCTAACCTGTTGACAGTGTTGGGGAGGTTAATTGTGTGGATGCTTTAAGCATCCACACTATTGAGTTCCTTCTTGATGTTTCCGTACACTTTTCGCCGTGGATCTACTACTGCTATTTTCACCGTTCCTTTAATTTGAAATGAATGGGAAACTTCTGCAATTCTGCTAAAATATGCTTGTTTTTGAAACTTAACTACTTCCTCATATTTTCACCTAGAACAACCATTCAAACTTTAAAATGTTCTCAAATTATTGGGCTATTCAGGTATAAATCAGCTTTTTCAAATCTTTTACCGTTTTACTTTTATGCCTCTTAAAGTTTTCAGTTGCAAATTGTGATTTTTCACAAAATACATGCGTCGTTATGGTTGCTATGCTCTTGGCTTCCAGTGTGCCACTGAAGGTTTTGCAGTCTTCTCTTCATGTCCGAACAACTTCTTGCTACTTGCTCAATTTTCACTCAACGTCCACAAATTATACATCAAAACGTAGGTATTTTTGCTGGCTTTCAGGAAATGTCACTATCATTGTTGTGGGACTTGTGCTATGTTTGAAATGATAAATGTTACAAGGTCAACAGTAGTAACATTGCTAGCTCCAGTTTTTTTAAATGAAAGTGACAGATGTTAATGTGTGAAAAGCTTTAACCTTCCCATTGTGATGAATTGACCTGATTTCAAGTTTTAAAATGTAAAAAGAAAATTGTTAAAAGGACCTTTCTTATACAAAATTTCTGCTTGGATTAAAAAGTGTAACCAGCATATAAAATGAAAATGGTTTGACCTGGCAGCCAAAGTGGAGGCTGAAGGGGTCTAAAACTACATCTGTCTTTGCAACTGTGAGACATATTTCCCCAACACACACACACACACACACACACACACACACACACACACACACTCCGTATTCTATTGACCTCACGCGTAAAGTGCAAGAACGCAGGTGTTGTGAACTGTCCTGTTCCTGTGGGCAGTAATGGAGTTGATAAGATAAGATAAGATAACCTTTATTAGTCCCACACGTGGGAAATTTGTTTTGTCACAGCAGGAAGTGGACAGTGCAAAAGTTATGAGGCAAAAATTAGAATACAATAAGAATAAATACAGTACACAACTGTACAGAATAGAATAAAATAAAATACTATATACAGTAGAATAAAATAAAATAAATATCAATAAGATAAAAAAATACAAATACAAATACTATATACAACTGAGTAAAAATACAACGATGACAGAAAGGATTATTGCACTTAGTATTATTGCATATGTATGGATGTGTGTTTTGATCAGTTAAAGTCTTGTTGTGGAGTCTGACAGCAGTGGGGAGGAAAGACCTGCGAAATCTCTCCGTCCCACACCGTGGGTGCCGCAGTCTCCCACTGAAGGAGCTGCTGTCACAGTCTGCTGCATGGGGTGGGAGATGTTGTCCAACAGGGATGACAGCTTAGCCACCATTCTCCTGT